AGTAGTTTCTTTATTGTTGCTTGCCTGAAGACAGGTATCTTGCCAAAGTAAAGTACAAATCTGCATAACTATATGCCGCTGAAAGGTTAGGGAGTGTTTGCCTTGTCCCTCTTTCTGCATATCAAATATTCCAAGCTGATCTGCTTCTTTGTTCCTTGGGAAAGATCCTCTCTCCCCTGCAACTCTGTACTACATTCTGCCACATCTATGACCAGTTAGGTGCATATAAGTATATTAGATTTTTAAGTGGCTATATGTATTAGATTGCATACATTTACAAGTGTATAAATGTAACTGTTGTAATTCTTCCTACTATGGCCTGTTCTTATGTAAGTGGTTAAGTAAAGGATAACACATAGACACATAACTACATATTCTAAGACTGAAACGTAGTGTGTTCTGTAAATCCAACTACTTCAAATGATAAATCCTCCTTTGTGGTTCAGTTTGATGTATCAATCCAGACAGGAGGAAGAAGAAGATGACTGGAGATCTAACAAGCCTAAGCATTTGTCTGGTTTCCTGCTAAGCATTATCTGAAGGCTCCCCGGCCTTTTGCGAACTGAGCAAAGTGAACGGATGTTGTGTATTATATTCATAGTGATCTCTCAATAGTTGGTATCTGCAGAACATTCACAGCTGCTATAATAGACATTTCTGAGGATAGATTTTCCTCTTTGAAGGTAGAGCAGCTCATTCCTGGTAGGGTGTCACTACATCATGTTCTGCTCGTTTCTCCTCAGGATGCTCCATTTCATAGTGAAATAAATCTCTTTCCAGTTATGCCAGCTGCAAAGCTGCTCACTGGTCAAAACAATAAAAAGGGAAACAAAAATCCATCAACTTCTCCATTAGGGAAGGAAAAAATGAGCTGAACAAAGCTGAGGCAGTCCTTTTTTATTGACTGAAGGATTGGTTCATTTAAGTCTCCTTTCAAGATAATGCATGATAGAAATGGACCAGCTCTAAGAATGCCCTTAAGGCTGGTCCATCTTAAATACCTTTCCCTCTACAAAGAGAGATGCATTTTTTAAAAAAAAAAAAAAAATAAAAGTGTATAATAGCTAAACATAAAAAATAGACTGGAAAAATAGGCTATAAAATATAGATACCACAAAGATCATATTACTAGGGTGTGTTTTTTTATAAGATAAAGCATAAATCTGCAACAATTGTTAGATAGCAGGATGGATTAATCTAGAGGTGGGGAACTATGGACCCTTTATGACTTGTGGACTTCAACTCCCAGAATTTCTGGGCATGACTGGCTCAGGAATTCTGAGAGTTGAAGTCCACAAGTTACAATGTTTTCAGTCTGGCCCTTTAAAGTCTTCCAGCAACACATCCATTGCCAGTATAATCAAGCTACTGGTTGTCCTCCTTTTCTCTTTCTTTGAATTTTCCCCAGCATTATGGAACTCTGGAAAATGGATTTTTGTATAATCAATCCCATTTTCCAGAGTTCCATAATGCTGGGGAAAATTGCAGTGAGATATTCTGGTGAGAGAATTGGAGTAGATGGCTAAATTATATTATGGACTCAGAAATAACTTACGTCTCTCTTTTTGTGCTTTGATCTGTCCAGATCTGAACATTTCTATTGAACTCATAAAGTGATAGCTGCTCATCTATTGCAGAACTGAGGCATATATTGATTTTGGTGAATTCATACTACTAAATAAAATATTTCTTTTCATTCTGTTTTATATGATTACAATTACATCCTACACTGCCGGATGCTTCTTAATTTCTAGAAATAGAATTGTTTTCAAAATACTTTATAGGTTTGCTCTTGGGTTTATAAAGTACATTTTAAAACTATGTCTGTGCATCTTCATTTTCATATTACCGTTACATGCCTAAAGCTTTCTTTCCAATCTTGGCTACCAAACTCACATTTAACAAACCTATTTCCAGAATGGATAAAAGCAGTCTGTTAATCCATATGGACATTTTATATCATACAGCACAAAATGCATTTAAGATGGTATAGAAAAGAATTTTGACATACACGTGCAGAAATTGAAATTCATATTGTATTATAAACCTTCTTGTATATCAATGCTTTAAATTTATCTATGAATTAATAAACTCCCTGCAGCAAATTTGGATATTTTGAAAAAGATTTGTCAACATCTGCTGCTATTAATTGGCTGGATTTCCGGCTTTGTTTGACAGGAACAGCTAGACCTCACATAGCTAATTCCGGACAGTCATTCAGAAATCCTAATAAATTCTTTTTTTAATTGGTGATCTTGATGTAAACACAGTTTTCCTTAGTGCCAGAGAGCATCACTACGAAGTCCTTAAAAATAGGAGCTCCAGAAATGCAATTGTGGCTAGATTTTGGAACCAAACACCTAGTTCTGCAGCTCATTTATAAATTCAGACTAATAATTTCTGGGGTAGCCTCAAAATTCAAGCATCCTAGAATCTATCGATGATAGATAGCTCGTTACAGCAATGAAGTCTTCAAATATTTGGAACATAGTGGCAAATCCTTAAAGCAACTGTGTCTTTTCTTAAAATTACAGATTCAACACAGAAAAAGATATCTGACATTTAAGGAGTTGCTACAGATGCTAGTTGTGAACCTCCACATATTCTAAAGCCCCCTTTTAACTCTGTATCCAAAACACTGCAGAGCCATACTGCTCTGGATTATTTCTTCACATATATTTTTAAAAGATACTTTCTAGAAAGACGGTAGTTGGCCAGACATATGCATATCTGCAGGTGCTTGCTTTATTATTTCCCTTTAAAGTTATATCTTCTGAAAGCACAATGATCTTTACCTTTACGTAAATGTATTTAGCATCACCGCAGTGGAAGCCAAGTGATTTAATTTTCATCTGTAGGGGCTACGCTTTAAGTGGATTTCCAAATGCAAAACTATACATGCTGGGAATATGTTTATACATGTGCATCTTAAAGTTGGCAAAGAGGTTGTTCTAATGTAGGGATAAACATTCTCTAGCCTTCCAGATGTTGGCAAAATCTGCATGGAGGAATAGACAGATGCTCTCTGCTGTTCCGTATCTGAAAAGTAGAACCAGCTCTCAATTAGAAAAGGCAGGAGCAGAAAAAGAGAGAGATCGAGCTGCAAAAATGAAGTAATGTACATGACCACTGGTGGGATTCAAATATGTGAACAACCGGTTCTCTGTGCGGATGCCGCTTTCAAAAGTCTATTCTGGGCCTGGGCAACAAAAAATTAGCTATCGGTTCTGCCGAAGTGGTGCGAACTGACTGAATCCCACCAGTGTACATGGCTCTCTTGGAGGAGAAGAATTAAAACATGAAGTTGTGAATGCTCCAACACTGGAGGTTTTAAGAACAGATTGGACAGCCATTTGTCTGAAATGGTGTAGGATGTCCTGCTTGAACAGGGGGTTGGACTAGAAGACCTCCAAGATCTCTTACAACTCTGCTATTCTATTATTCTATTTTCCATCTGGGATCTCTACATGCACCCATCATAGAAGATATATGGCTGGTCTGGCTTGAGAAGAAGACCTAGATCAGGGGTGTCAAACTCAATTTCATTGAGAGCTGCATCAGCATTCTACTTGCCCTTGGGAGGTGGGGTGGGCATGGCCAGAGTGGTCACAGATGACTGGATGGGTGTGGAATGGGAATGGGACCAGGTGGGCGCCAGGGGCTTGATCCTCCAGCTGGCTCTTAGGGACAGGAGCTTCCTGCCCTTCCCATTTGCTGGAGCCATCATAGGTGGGGCGGCGGGCAGGAGGTGTGTGCAGCAGAGCTGGAAGACAAGGTTGGATGGCAGGGCCAAGTGCCCAGGGGCCATGGTGCAGCGCCACCCCTGCCCCGCCACCTGCCTTGCTTCGCCTCACCTTCTTGGTGAGTGCACAGCCATGGAGGCCATGCAAATATAGAAGGTGGGATGGAAGAGGTGCATCTGGTGGGCCGGATCATGTGCCTCCCACCCCTAATGTCTCTGCCTTCACCTCCTGCTGGTGTCACTGCTGTGCCTGCTGCTTGAAGGGCCGGCCCGGTGGTCGCATAGGCTGCGGAGCTGGTGCCAGTGGGCTGCAGCTGCTGCAGGACACCATTGGCCCCCGCATCTCGCCACCTCCTCCGGCCCATGGGCCTTGTGTTTGCCATGTCTGACCTAGATCAACCTAAATAGAATCTGATCAGTCATATGGGCTAGTAGCAGGAGGGAACATCCTCCCTTAGTCCTGGTTCATAGCACAGGTCTCTGCCATCTCTTGCTCATGCTGCTTTTTATAATAGATTTAGCATTTTTCTGGAATAGCATTAAACCCACATTCAGAAGGAACCTGATTATCAGCTCTGGGTTGACATGAGTGATTTGTGCTTAAAAGAATCCATTTTGACAGGACTCACTTTAAGTGAAAATGTTTCACACACAGTAACGCAGTTGGCAAAGTAACTCTTTTGTTTTATGCTGGCCTTTAAGGTTATCTTCATCTGTCTTTGCTTGCAGACAAAAATAATGCCTTTAGCTGGTTTTTTTGGTTTTTTTTTTTTTACTTTTGCTGATTTTTTCCCCTCTCTTGTGGTTTTATTCAATTAAGACATTTTATGAGCCTCCCCTTTACATTCATATTGTTCCCAGGAGTTGTAATGCAATAGAAAATAAAAGAATTGAAATTTCCTTCAGCAAAATAATAACATCTATCTACTTTCTTTATATTATCCGCTGCTTTATTGGCAGTTGCTGCTGCTCTGTTTGGAGCCACAGTATAGTCATTTATTTTAATGAAAGTGCGGGCCCAGGGTCCACTGAAAGATTTCTTCTTTTTTTTTTTATGTAAAGAGAGAAGCAGAAAGGAACAAAGAAGAGAGCTTCTTCCTGTCCTGCTGAAAGTAGTGTCTCAGAATGCTTTTGCACATATCATTGGCATAAATAAATAAATAAATAAATAAATAATGAACAAGAAAACAAAAACAAAAACAAAACTTTACATATTACCTCAGTGTAGCTGCTAGGTCTAGAAATGACCTGGTAAAACATGTTTTCTGGAAAGCTGTTGGGTTTGGTGTGCAATCATTTCAACATAAAGGGCAGTAAGGGAGAATGGTTAAATGCCATTATGGTGTGTTCTGAAATTGAATAGTTTTCTGCATAAAAATGATCGCTTGGCATATTGAAATAAGATTGCCAGTATGCACGAAGGAATATTTTATGGACTCGTACTGCCCCCTGTACAATTCATGACCACAGGACATGTTGATAGCCACTACAGGTAGTTTTCAACTTACAATCCCAATCGGGACCAGAATTACCATTGCTGAGCAAGGCGATTGTTGAGTCACATCGGATTTGATGACCTTGTTTGCCACGGTTGTTAAGTGAATCAGTGCAGTTGTTAAGTGAATCACTGCAGATGTTAAGTGAATCATGCAGTACATGCTGGTTACCAAGTGCCCAAATTTTGATCATGTGACCATGGGGATGCTGCTATGATCATACGTGTGAGGTCCAGTTGTTAGTCACTTTTTCTCAGTGGCAGTGTAACTTCAAACAATTGCTAAATGAATAGTTGGACGTTGAGGACTATCTCTAACTCAGTTCATAAAGGATATGTCTCCGAGGGTTATTGGTCTTTAAGATTCAATGCGACCTCCAGGTTGAGAGTAGCATATCTTCAAATAACATTGCAAGTGAACAATGGCAGGATAAGATAATTTCTCTTTCTATTTTTTTTTACTGCTTTTAAGTCCTATAGAGACTTCTGATTGGCCACTGCAAGAAACAAATTGTTATCCAGTCTAAGATGGGTAACCTCTAGATGGCAGCAGAGAACACAAAACCTCTAATTGTTTGCTGCCATCTAGTGATCATTTGGGAAGGATAGCTCAACCTTTACCTAATCAAGAAGAGCAATTTGTACACTCTTATTAGCAGGTCTAACATGCAAGGAATTATTTCTGGATTTACCCCTTCAAATCAATGGGACATGAATTAGCAAGCCTTTTGAGTAGGCTGGCATGATTGAGTCTTAGGGAATCAGAAAATTAACACAGCAACATCCAGTTTAATGTGTTTGCTTTACAGAGCATCAAAGTGAGCTGGCTACCCCCACCGTCCAACATGCAAAATGGATTTATCACTGGCTATAAAATACGGCACAGAAAGACAGCTCGCAGGGGTGAGATAGAAACATTGGAGCCAAATAACCTCTGGTATCTGTTTACAGGTAAGTGTTTACATGACATTAGCCTTATAAAACAGAGGAGGGATGAAATACTAGGGGAATAAAATGAGTTTTTACTTCAAGCGAATGTTGGTTGCCTTGCGTTCTGCTGACATTTATTGGACTGTACAACAACAGCCTTTATGCATTTTTACTTTGTTTCCTATTTAATGGTTTTATCATCTATTTGTGCCTCTCAATATTCCATGCCTTAATGAGTCTGCAATACAATTCCCCATGCTGTCTTGCAGGTTTTATCTTAAATTAGGTTCTACAAATGACAACTCCAAAGCAAAAACAAAGCCTGTCACCCAGAAACAAGACGTTGTGGTCATTATTTTTAAGCCAAAAAAAAAAATATGGCCATTTGTTTTGATAGGTGAATGCAGACGAACTCTCCATAGGTATTTGATTCCACCTGCAGTTTCATGCTTACCTTTTTGCACTTGCTCAGAAGTGTTCTTTAAGATGTGCATACTCAGAGGGAACTTTTAAGCCAAGATATACTTTCAGAGCTGTTCAGTCATAACACATCCATTTCTTGTCAGAAATATCAACCTCTTTTCATTTCTCAGCTAGCCCAAGTAAATTCAACTTCATGCTGAATCCCTTTCAGTAAGTATATAAAGATAAGAAACTAACTGTTGATAGACTAGTTTGCTCTAGTGGTTAAAGCACCAGGCTAGAAACCAGGAGACTGTGAGTGTCCTGCCTTAGGCATGAAAGTCAGCTGGGTGGCTTTGGGTCAATCACCAGGAGGCAGTGAGTTCTACTTCTACCATAGACATGGAAACTAGGCTGGGTGACTTTGGCCAGTCTCTCTCTCTGATAGATGGATGGATGGATGGATGGATGGATGGATGGATGGATGGATGGATGGATGGATAGATAGATAGATAGATGGATACTGTAGATAACAACAACAACAACAACAACAACAACAACAACAACAATAATAATAATAATAATAATAGTAATAAAGTTGGAAGGGACCTTGGAGGTCATCTGGTCCAACCCCCTGCTCAGGCAGGAAACCCTATACCATTTCAGACAAATGGCCGTCCACTCTCTTCTTAAAAACTTCCAGCATTGGAACATTCACCACTTCTGGAGGGAAGTTGTTCCACTGGTTAATTGTTCTAACTGTCAGGAAGTTTCTCCTTAGTTCTAGGTTGCTTCTCTCCTTGATTAGTTTCCATCCGTTAATAATGTTAATCAGTTTCAAGAAAGGCTGTTAAATACTGCAAGCTGAATGGAATATAAACAAATGCAAACCTCAGTGTCACAGTTTTGCTTCCATATTACAGTATTTTCCAAAGGAACTGGGAATCTTGCAGCTTTTAAAGAGATTATTTAAATATTCAAGCAGCAAGACTTTGTTTCCTTAAAAGCATCTGCTGGTAAAGGCAGGTGTTTTTGCCCACTAATGAGGACAGCTGCAATACCCAAGTAATTCAGAATTGCAACAATGACTTTAAATCACTATTGTTGATTTTATAGTTAGATTGAGCATCAGCTAGAATTTAAAGGAGGATATGGCTCTTTCGAGTTTCAAAATCCTTCCCCAGGGGATCTCTGCAATTAAATGTGCCTGCTTATTGTTATGCTTCATGGTTAGTATAAGATGCACGAAATGATAAACATGTAATGCTGTCAAAGGGAAAAGAAATCTGGTACAAAATAACTTCAAGGCACTTCTGTGTTGGAATGTAACAATTGTCAGAACAAAATAGCTGCTTCAGGATTCAAACTGGATTGAATGCATTATTAAAATTCGAGATGGGAGCTTAGCTTGTTGTATGTCTGTTCAGATTCTCAGTCATCCAGGTCATGGTTGTCACAAAGGTGCTTTTTCAAAAGGCAGATGGACTTTGTTTTTCCTTGAAGACATTTCACTTCTCATCCAAGAAGTAATTCAGTCAGAAGTGAAGAAGCTTCTTGGATGAGAAGCGAAACATCTTCAAACAAAACAAAGTTCACTTGCCTTTTGAAAAAGCACTGTTGGGATAGCTTGTTGTATCTACTATAGTATCTGCTTTAGAGAAAAAAAATGGTTATACTTTTTCAGAGGTGCTATAAATTAGAACCATATGAGTGGGAAAAGTTGTGCAGTATAACTCAGTTTACTGAACATTTTCCTCATGATAACAGTGCTGGCAGAGTTCTCAGGCAACTATTTTGCCTTCCCTCTTTACTTCTTGCCCAACACTGCTGTTTGATTGGCAGCTGTGTTGTCCTGGCAATGGGGGAGGGCGAAGATGGGATATGGAGAAAGGAGCACAGGTATGTATCACCTGCTCAAGCTTTCTGTTCTTCCACAGAAAGGAATAAATTGGACTGAGATCAGAGGAGGGGGAGCAAGGTGGCAAGGGTTCAAGATACCATCCTCTGTGAGAAATATTAAAGGATCCGGATGTGAATTAGCCCATAGAAGACAAGGTTGACTAGAGATACCATAGCAATCTTGGTAGTCCTCAACTTATGACCAGTTGCTTATTGACCATTTGAAGTTATGACAGACTTTCCCAGGAATACTTATGACTCAGTTCTGCAGTTCCACCAGCTTCCCCACTCCTGTGGTCATGTGACTGCTTGACAATTGGCCTGCATTTAGGTTTTTGCTAAAAAAAAGGACATTTACTTCTGGTTTTTGGCAAAACCGGCCCATAGCAAAAAGTTGATTTGCTTAATGACCAGGGCATTCACCTTATGATTGTGGCAGTTGCTTTACAATTGCCATAGTTGCTTTAGGAGTGCAACAGTCAAATAATGAATGTTGCAAAAAATGTTATAAAGTCAGGTTGGTCAACTGGATGACCTGACCTGCTTTACAACTGTCAGAACATATAATGGACAAACTCCATTACAGTCATATATCACCTATATCTGAAAAGTTGTCCCATTAAATAGGGAACTGAATAATTCTCCATTTCCCAGAGGGCAGGAAGAGAAGAGAAGAGAAGAGAAGAGAAGAGAAGAGAAGAGAAGAGAAGAGAAGAGAAGAGAAGAGAAGAGGGAAGAGGAGTGGGAGCGGGAGGGGAGGGGAGGAGAGAGGAGAGGAGAGGAGAGGAGAGGAGAGGAGAGGAGAGAAGAGAAGAGAAGAGAAGAGAAGAGAAGAGAAGAGAAGAGAAGAGAAGAGAAGAGAAGAGAAGAGAAGAGAAGAGAAGAGAAGAGAAACTTTGCAACTATATGGACTGCTGCCAGGGGAACAGACTGCAGCTGGGAAACCCTGTTTTAGTCCTCCCTTATGCACATAAGCTTGGGCTACTCACTCTCTTTAAATGTTAGACTGCAAAGTAAAAAAAATCAAAAAAATCTACCAATCTGCCTACACTGGGCCAGTAGGACAGATCATGGTTTATAACTTTCAGTGAAGAAAACCTCATCCTCCTGATGCATACAGACATAGACATATTGACATGGGGAGAGGAAAACTAGGTTTGGAGACATACTGCTATGCTAGAAATGATTGCATTAGTGTGACTTGTAGGATGCCAGCAGTCTTAACTGAATGTTTTCTGTTTGATTTGCATTGCAAATAGGTCTTGACAAAGGAAGCCAGTATAGTTTCCAGGTTGCAGCTATGACAGCCAATGGAACGGGACCTTCTTCAGAGTGGTATACTGCAGAAACTCCAGAGAGTGATCTTGATGGTAATTGTACTTATTTTCACAGCTGTTGTGCTTGTTTTGTGCTCAGACAGTTGCCTTGCCTTTCGGGTAAACTGCTGTGGAGGTTAGGATGATCCAATGTCCAAGTCACTGGAGTTGATGCCTGAATATTTTCTTGAGCAGAAGTGTTTTCATTGATTGCATGCTGCAAAGTTTCTCTCTCTGTATGGGCAAGTGAAGCAGAAATGAGAAAAAAAAGACAGTTCTGTTCTCTTCCATTATTTTCACAAGGTGTTTCTAAGCATCTGTCTAATTTTAACTTCGGCACCAGCTGTTGCTATCATGTCTTTTGCCAAACTGTAACAATTGGATGGCTGCTCAGAGCAAGGATAGTTTTCACGGTAGCCTTCAACTTCAATATTTTCCATGCTGTGGTTACCGCAGGAGATAGCTAAAGAGCTGCTTTACTCTGTGGCAGGTCTAAAATCTATCTGATCAGCCCAATCTATTGGAATTCTTAAAGCCTGAAAGCAAAGCCTTTCAGATTCTGAAATACTTCGGCCACAAGTCACAAGTCTAGGGCTTCATTAGAATGTATGTATGGATTCACTGGAGGAAGCCAACATCTCTTGTGTCTGAAAGGAAAGAAAAAGCTTTCCAGAAGCTCATGACTTCAGGAGACATCTCCCATTGTTTCTCCCCAAACATTTGATACAACCCTAAAAAGTTACCTTTTAGCCTTTTGTTGAAAGAGTCAACCTTGGAGGGACAAAGAAACCCATTCTGATTCCATTCCCAAATGAAACAAAACTGTGTTACTGCTGTTACTAAGACTTGGAAAGCCATATGATTAGTTTCCCAATTATGAGCATCTCAGTTTAAAAAAGGACCTGAGAGAAACTGGGACAAGTGCCAAGAAGGGTAATGAAGTGGTCATGGGACTAGAAGCAAAGTCCTAGGAGAAGAAGTTGGATATATTTAACATTGAAAAAAAAGGAACAGGCGGAAGAAGTATGGCAATACTTTTCAAGTATCTCAAGAGTTTTTTTCACAAAGAAGGCCAAGACTTTCTCTGTTTTCCCAAAGTGCAGGACCCAGAATAATGGTTTTAATTACAGTAAAGTACTGTAGATTTCAGTTGAATGCAGAAAAAAAAATAGTAATATTTTTGAATACATTGGAACTTGAGTAGAGAGATATCCTGCACCCCTCTACTGGATCAGATCAGATAGAGTCATCCCTCTGGAATGTTTTAATTCAGATTCCTGTATCAGACAGGAAGTTATATCATCCTGACATACAGACCTGCCCTTAATGCTCTCACTTTGAGGGTAAACATCATTATGTAAATCACAGAAAAGGTAAAAGGAATAAAGAAGCAAGAAAAAGAACTATCACTAAATCTAATATGAATCAACACCATGTTGATGCAAATTAGATTTAGTGATAGTTCTTTTTCTTGTTTCACTCCAGTTACCTTTCTGTATGTGTCCTTCCAAACCATTCTTGCTTCAGCTATGTCTCTATATCATTTAATGCAGGGATAGTCAGCCAAGCTGGCTCAGGAATTCTGGGAGTTGAAGTCCACGAGTCATAAAAGAGCCAAGGTTGACTACCCCTGATTTAATGCCTTGCCTTTTATTCTTCAAATATCTCACTTCTTTCCATTTTGAGGATCTCCTGTAGTCAGTCTGACTACAAATTTTCTCATTTTGTTCCTCTTCTGAACTTTAAGCCTTATTCCTTTGCTTTATATGACCAAAGTATCTCAAAGTTCTTCTTTTGTACTGGTCTCTCACTTTTGTATTCAGTTGACATTTATTCCATCCACATTCATTCTTAATCCTGTCTTTTCTTCTTAAGCTCTAGGGTATCCATCACCAGCCTGATTCTCTCCATGTGTTTGGCATTTTAACCTTTAAAATCCCCCAGTCTTTCTGACTTCCAGCTTTATCTCCATAGGAATTAGGAATTCAATAGGAATTCTGAGAGCCTGTATCTGGAAGTATGAGATGGGCAAATCTTTCCTTTGCAGGGCAGGGCATTTGATTTGTCAAGAGAACTATAGAGCCGGTTTACTCAGTTGAAATATTAAACTTGGTGTGTTGAGAGCCTCAAATCCTCCTGAGTGCTCAGAATGGATGTTTCAACTGAATGGATCAAAAATCCATGACTGATAACCCCAATATTTATTCATTTCAGGAGAAAGATTTCAAATCTAAGGAGACTTGTTTTGTGTGCTTTCATGATTGGCACGCAGTTTTGCACATCTTTGTAATTTAACAGTCTACTGCAGATCAGCCAGAGACCTGCTATTAAATCTGGAACTAGCTTTTTCCTATCCCTGTTTGAGATGATTTCTTTAAGGATCATCCCTGTAGAGAAGCAGATCTGGTAAATTCTAGCACGGGAAGGAAAAGATTGCTAAGGAAGAGATTATTTACGGCAGGCTATTTTTTCTCATATTTGCTGTAACAGTTTTGTCACTGCTTTCTTCTTGGCATTTGCACTAACATGGAAACAAATAGTATCTTAAAGAATTCTCTTAATAATAATAATAATAATAATAATAATAATAATAATAATAATAATAATAATAATAATAATAATAATAATAATAATAATAAAGTTGGAAGGGACCTTGGAGGCCATCTAGTCCAACCCCATGCTCAGGCAGGAAACCCTATACCATTTCAGACAAATGACTGTCCAGTCTCTTCTTAAAAACTTCCAGTGTTGGAGCATTCACCGCTTCTGGAGGCAGGTTGTTCCACTGGTTAATTGTTCTAACTGTCAGGAAGTTTCTCCTTAGTTCTAGGTTGCTTCTCTCTTTGGTTAGTTTCCATCCGTTGCTTCTTGTCCTGCCTTCAGGCACTTTGGAGAATAGCTTGACTCCCTCTTCTTNCAACATCTTTTTTACATCATGGTGACCAAAACTGGATGCAGTATTCCAAGTGTGGCCTTACCAAGGCATTGTAAAGTGGTATTAACACTTCACGTGATCTTGATTCTATCCCTCTGTTAATGCAGCCTAGCACTGTGTTGGCTTTTTTGGCAGCTGCAGCACACTGCTGGCTCATATTTAGGTGATTGTCCACTAGGACAATAGTATGTTTTACTAAAGCAATTAGAAATCTAAACAATGCAGGCTATCTAAGAGTCTCTGGAAAGCCAAAACAGTCTTTCCAACAGTTGGAAAGGTTTTAGATATTCATTTTGAAAGAAAATCCCACGTTTTGTTTCCTTTAAAAAAAAAAAAGATTTTTGTCTGACCTCCTGAAATTTCCTATATGAACCACATCAGACCCTGCTTAGCTTTTGCAAAATTAGCCAAAGATGCTCGTTGATACCACATATTGTCACATAGTTTAAACATTTTTTTGCAGTGAAAAATAATTACCTTTATAGTATTTTTTTCTGCTGTACTCACTTTGTGAAAAATAAGACTTCTTCTCCCATGGGGGGGGGGGGAATTTTCGGTGGCATCCTGTTGTATTTTGAGGGAGGAAAATCCTAGTGTATTTCATCAGTTCTTCCTTTACTCAAGAAAGAAAAAAAAAACTACCTCCGTATGTGTATATCATTTGTCAAGGTGAAAAAATACTTCTTTGTGTTACTTTTTTTTAATCTAGACCAGGGCTAGGCAACCTTGGCTCTTTTATGACTCGTGGACTTCAACTCCCAGAATTCCTGAGCCAGCCATGCTGAGGGAAAAGGGAGAGGTTTCTAAGCTGAGCCATGCTGGCTCAGGAATTCTGTAAATTGAAGTCCACGAGTCATAAAAGAGCCAAGGTTGCCTACCCCTGATCTAGGCTATCTGCAAACATTTCCTTAAAAACCTAAGGAGAGTTATACCTGGGTAAAAACAAATCAGGAATTCTACTATGTAGACATGGAATTTTCTCCTATTTCTTCCTATTTCATAAACATGATCCAGCAAGGATCCAATTTGGGTCGGTCATCGGGACCAGAAGTTTCGTCTTCTGAGCATTTGGACTCATACTGGAGCCCATTCTCAGGGAACTTCTCTGTCTGTTCCCTGAGGATGGACTCTAACATGAGTCCAGACAAAACCTTTGGTCCCGGTGACCGACCCAGATTGGATCCTGCAAGATTATCCTGGGACATGTAGATTCGCCTTCATTCATGACAATCCAGCAAATTCATCCTCCCATGAAGTTGATTTCATCTCATCTCATTCCTGGACCCTTCCTGAAAAGTGTCTCTGACTTTTCCTTTGCTAAAATACTGTGTTCCCCTTGGACATTTTTTCCCCTTCTATTTCCACTCTTTATGATTGCTTCCTTGCTTTTCCTTTAACCAAATATATCCTAACAGTCATGTCACTAATTTTCTTCCTGTCTTTTAACTGACTGCTCCAAACTGGGAATACAGAGAATGCTTAGAATAGTGTTTCTCAGCCTCAACACTTAGGTGGGTGTGGTCCATTGGGTGGGCATGGTCCATTGGGTGGGCATGGTCCATTCAATGGGCGTGGCCCATTGGGTGGGCGTGGCTTCGGTGGTAACGGCAGACTGAGTGGGACTAAAAAGTTCAATCAATCAGTTCCAACTTTGCGAGATCTTTTTTTTCCCATGAGAAGTTGAAATTGATTGATTGATTGAACCTTTTTTTTTTTTACACACAACAGCAGAGGCCTAAAGAGAAAAGGTTTTATAAAACCCAGCTGAAGTCCTAGGACTGGGGCGACGGTGCGCGTGCCCACAGAGAGGGCTCTGCATGCCACCTGTGGCACGCATGCCATAGGTTCGCCACCACGGCTTTAAAGTATGTGGACTTTAACTCCCAGAATTCTGGGAAATAAGTCCACACATCTTAAAGTTGTTAAGATTGAGAAACACTGGCTTAGAAGACGATTCCATGAAAAAATTACCTTCTTGCAAATTCAGTCTTCAGCTTTATAGATCATGTTCCTGATGCCAGTTATAGGTTGTGTACAAATGGATTAACAATGCCTATGAATTCTAAGAAGTCAGAAGAGTTTCCAGGACTGAAGGTAGGATTTTTTTTTTATGTTGTCCTTCTCAAGACCAGAAAATTGTGCAAACATTTACAAAGTAAATTAGATGAATTTGAATGCTTTGCGTAATACTGTATAAGCAGGTTTCAAAATCATTTTTTCTCAGTATAGAATTTGGGTAGCCTGACCATGGAATTTTATTATTTTTATATTGTTAGCATATCACATATTGAAACCAATTTGATGTTAAGATCTATTTTTGGAACCATTTTTTTCTAGCTCTTCATCAAGTCGTCAGTTATAATTGTTAATGAACTATGTGATAGTTAACAACTTTCAATACCTAACTTTCTCTTTCATCAACCTTTCATTTTTTCTTTGTTATTGCTATTTCTTACATTTATAAAAATAGTTACATTTATAAGAATCTTGCCTCAACACCCAAGTGAATACAGTAACTTTTATAAAGCTGATTTAAAATGGCATTTAATAATCATTACAGAAATATATAGCAAACAATTTCAAATATTTTTATGCAATTATAAAAAAATTACATAAGCCTTGTGTTCTCAGGACATCCTGTCTTTTAATATGTGATATATTACAATATATTTCTAATTAGGTAAGCCTTTTTTTAGCCAAGCATAGCTCAAAAATAAATTCACCTGAAAATGGTGCTTTATTAAAATTTTGCTAACACTGCTGTATCTTAATTCTAATCTTCTTCAATTCTAATCAAACTTCAAGAGTGGGTCGAACTTTTTATTGGAAACTTTGCTAAAATTAATCACAAATCCCATAAAATGTGTTAAAGGCACAGAGGAAGTAATCAAGGTCAGCAATACTGACAAATGTTAGTCTCATCATTTTTTTAAAAAAAAATGCTTTTTTTAATTTCAGCGTTTATGATGGGAGTCTTTCATAGGCCTTTTTGTCTGAGTTTGCTTCAACATTTTGCATTGATATTTCACCAATAAAAGGGAATATTTGCACAGGGTAAGCTGTTGTGTATAAACAGAGAGCAAATCCCATTCTCTTCTATCACTGAAGATCTTACCCAAGTTGGGTAATGAAACATCTCCAAGAAAACATCCAAGCTGACATGTTCTTTTACATTTAACTTCTTCATGACTTTAACATAACTGGGCTCAGAGGTGTCCACAAGTCAAGACAGCATCTATGATAATACAACTGAAGTTATACATGTCTCTTAGATGTACTACTGCTTGTTTATCATACCCTGCAGATATAAGAAGCTAAGCAGTACCCTGATTGATCAGACCCCTGGTCTACTTAGTGCCTCAGTCTAATCTCACACAAAATCAACTACACAAGGATGTCCATTTGTCTCCCAGCAGTCTTCAGAGGCAGTCCCACTGCCATCAACTCTTAATAGCCATTGTTTCCCATAATTTCCATGACTCATTCCAACCCTTTTTTTTTTTAAAATAGCCAGGCTGCTAGCCAGCACTACCTCTCATGTAGCTAATTCCTTATACCATATCCATTTGTTGCAGGATCCAATCTTAGTCGGTCACCGGGATCAAAGGTTTGTTCTTCCAAGTTTTGGCGCTCGTACTGGAACCCATCATCATTTCTTTTTCTCCAGAATATCTGCAGTGGGCTGTTCCACACGAACCCAAAAGCTTGGATTCTGGTGATCAATTGGGTCCTGGTGATCAATTCAGATTGGATCCTGAAACATTATTCTGGGTCATGCATGTTTATCTTCATATCTATTTGTCTTCCCCGGTTCTACCTGTTCAGTGAAGCTTAACAACTTATCTGTTTCTGATGTAAAGATATGAGCCAGTCTCTGGCTGCTCTGAAGAAGCTTGTGATACAGCAGCCCCTTTGCAAACTAGCAAGGAAAGAATTCATTTTAATTTTGCAAGATTTTAAAGCACCCACTCTTATGCACAATGGCCATCAGGAATATCTGCTTTCATGTCGTAAAATTCATTCAAATGCTTTGCAAATGCATACTCAGATTGTTTAAAAACTGTCATGAGTGAATCCTAAAAGGCTAAAAAATGGGGAGGTCGAACTGAATAAACATGGAAGCATAAAGAAAATTTTATGCTTATGCCCAGCTGACAGAAATTGTTGTGTTTATGTTTGACTATATAATAGTTATGCACTGTTAAAAAAAATGTGTTGTAGATCCTTTCCCTTTCCCTGTTTTCTATCTTACATTTATTGATTTCTTCTTAACCCCTCATTATTGTCATCTCTCTCTTTTTTTCCCTAGATAATAATGGTAGTTTCACTCCATTTAGGAGGAATAAATGGTAATATGAGAAATATTCCATTTAGCACATGCTATGTTTTGTCCTGTGAGGTATTATAATTGGGGAAAAAAATATTCAACTAGGTAGGATTATTCAGAAGCTAAGTACAGTACTGAAATGGTTTGCATGTTAAGTCTCCCCACCCACCCACCCCACACACAAAAAAACAACAGAAGTATTTTTACCTAATATTGAAATCTTCCTGTTATTCAAATGCCTTTATGTCAATGGTAACAATCCCTTCTTTTGACTTCCAGAATCTCAGGTGCCTGACCAGCCAAGCTCTCTTCACGTCAGGCCTTTGTCAACCAGCATTGTAATGAGCTGGACACCACCATTGAATCCAAACATCATTGTACGTGGCTACATCATTGGCTATGGGGTAGGCAGCCCCTATGCCGAGACAGTCCGGGTGGACAGCAAACAGCGATATTATTCCATTGAACATCTGGGTAGGTTTGTTTTCTTTCTGGTTGTTTAATATAAAACAGCTTCAACTAGAACCACAACATCATAACACTACAGGGGGATTACAAGCAGCTCCTGCCTGTTTTCAAGAAATTCACAGCAAAAGCGTTCCTATGGAAGAATTGATTTTGGATTAACTGGAAATGCCAGACACACAGTGTGGGAAGACAATGAAAGTCTCCCTAGATCAGAGCTTTTCAACCAGTGGTACAGGTACCATCTGTGGTACACTGGCACCTGGCAGGTGGTACGTGACCACCCTAGAAAAGTGGTAGCAGGGGAGGGGAATGAGCTGAACTAGTGGCAGCACCGCACAAGCCTGAGCGAGAGATGGCTGGAGCTGCAGGGCTGTCAGGGCTCAGTGGAAGCGCCAGAATCAGTGCCAGGATCCAGCTGGAGCTCGGTGCTGATCCTGGTGCTTCTGCTGAGCCCAGAAGAAGCACCGATCAGCTGGAATGTTGCAGCATCTCCAGGGTCTTGTGATTTACATTCAGATGCTTGGCAACTGATTCATATTTATGACGGTCACAGTGTCCCAAGGTCATGTGAAGTGACCAAAACCTGCTGCAACTACCCAGCAGACGGGGGGAATAAAAACCAAACACCTCCCACCCCACCCCCGCTGCCAATCCTCAACAGAAATGCTCACAACAATGAAAACCTCAGACAGGAGGAAGAGCACCGTTGGGCAGACAAGCAGGTGTCTTGCTCGGCTGTGGCTTGGGGGGCACTTTTTTCAGTGCCATTGTAACTTCGAACAGTCACTAAGGGAACTGTTGTAAGTCGAGGACTACCTGTACTTTATCACTTTTTTCCTTTTTTTTTTTTGATCATCAGGTTTTTGACACCTTGCTAGGCGAATGGTGGTACTCAGATATTGCCATATCCTAAAAGTGGTACAATGGGTGAAAAGGTTGAAAAGCCCTGCCCTAGATAACATATTTATAAAACTGTATACTCTGGCTTTATAGCTCAATACAGTTGTACTATGACCAGAACATGAGAACCATTTTGGGGTAGTAATTAAGGCATCAGGCTAGAAACCAGGAGACTGTGAATTCTAGTCCCTCTTTAGGCATGAAGCCAACTTGGTGTCTTTCATCCCTAGGAAGTGAGCATTGGCAACCCACTTCTGAAATTTGCTAAGAAAACGCTGCAAATACTGTATATTCTTGCTTTGACACAGGAACTACTTGAGGCAGTCATCAGGAGTCAACACTGACTTGAAGGCATACAAACTCATCTCTAGAATTTAGACAGGCACAGAATTCTTCCCAGCTTAAGGGGTTCATGATACATTTGTCAGAGGCACCACCAGGATCAGATGATCAGGCAAAATATAGGATTTCTGTAGCCCAGAGGGCTTCCAACAGACAGCAGTCCATTCTTAGCAGTCCTCACATGTTGCATCCTGCCTGTTCCGAAGCTGAGTAGCAGAGAATTGTCATCACTGATACTCATGTGTTAATACCATGGAGATGTATTTCCATTGTCAGTCACCAAGTTGTTATTTTTCCTCTGCTCTCATTTAAACGTAAGGAGAAATACTTAAGTTCTTAGCTGTAGCTTTGGCTTTATTCTTTTGTAACCTTTTCATATGTAATATTTATTCCATTACTCTATTTTATAATGTTATTATTTTATTGTTATTTTATTCTGTGTTATGACATTCCTATGCTATGACCTGTGATTATGCTTGCTTCCTTCCTTGCTTGCTTCCTTCCTTGCTTGCTTACTTACTTACTTACTTACTTACTTACTTTGTGGAGATGGTTGACAAACTGGCCAGTGTCCTAGGAAGAGATTCCCCATTTCCTTTCTCTTCTGTGCAAATTCCTTTTCAGAGGATATTTAGGACCAAATAGGTCTAGCCTTAAGAAATATAAGACAGGGATGATATTAACTGGCCTACAGATAAAACCTAATACAAACTTGCTTCTCTGAAGTCCATGAATTCCATTTGGTGGGACTGGATTGGGGGGAAACCAAGAAGAACTATTTGGTATAGGAAAGATTAAACACAAGTTTGGAAATCTTCCTTTTCATCTTCTCCCTCACAGTGTTTGGATTTCTGCCATTTTTATAATGGTTTGTAGTTCAGAGGCAATGCCTTAGTCCTTGTAGTTATAGCACTCCAGTATTTTGGATTTTATTTTTTTTAATTCATTGGAACAGGCATTTCAGAACCTGGGATCATGTGAATCCAACAACTGTCATAGATATCCATGTCACTTTCTAGCATTGTACAGCTGCTGCTTCTGTTGCACTCATGCAGTCTTGGAAAATGGACACAGCTGCTTTAATGAATCCCAGAGAGGTGCGAGATACAAGCCATCTCTTCTGAATCAAATCCAAAGCATTGAATAACCTAATTAATTTGCATCAAAGCAGCAGAGGGCCTGGCTTATGAGCTTTTTCCCAATATTAGAGTCTAATCCAGAAAATGGCAAACTTAAGAGTCTCTGTAATTACTTAACTTGCCTGCTTCTTGTTAATTTTGTTGTCATCTATAATGCCTTTAATAAAGCTGCTGAATTGTTCAGAAAAGTGTAAAACAGCTGATCAAATGAGGAGCTAGTTGATCTGGAGACAGATTCCTAAACACAATCAGCGTTTTATATTCTAAGACTGCAGTGTTCGTAGTTATTCAGAACACACCTTTGCTTCATCACCAATTTTAAATGCTAATGAGTCCCACACTATATTTCAGAACAAATTTACCCCATTGGTGCCCAGGTCTGAACACGATGGCAATCAAACCTGCAAACTTTTTATCTGTCAAAATAGTGTCAGGAGGTGTTTCATTATCTAGTCCTCATTACATACTTTCTCTGACACTTTGTCTTGGCACCATGCAGAGAAAATGTTTTATTCTATGGTTGGAAAGAAAATTTTGCCAGGGAATGAAGATCAAATGTTGAGAGAAAGATCTCTAAATGCTCACCTTCTCTGCTCTTTTATTGCATAACTTTTAAACCTGTTCTTGGACCTTAGAATACCCAAGAATATATATATATTTGCAAACATTAAACCTGTCTAAAACAAATTCATGTCTACATCTCAGTACATATGAGTTCCACAAACTTACTCATGCATTTGTTTTTTTATTCTTCCTGAGTTACATTGTCCCTTGGGCAGTCCTAGCTAACAGAGATAAAAACTTCTTTGAATTAGGTTCAACTTCTGGTGCTTTGAGAAAGATGTTTAGGTAGTTTTCTTTTTTCTTAATAGTAATTTTATTAAAATTACCATTGCAAACATAAAACCTAATATAAACTTTGAAAAGGACAAAATAAGATACTGAAAGAAAAAGACAGAAAGAAAAACATGACAGAAACAACAAATAAAAATGTAATAAAGAAAATTTAAACAAATATATAAACAAATGACTGTCCTTCAAGACAATCAGTATAAACAATTTTAGTAACATCACCTTCTCTTAAATTACAGCAAATGATCTCTTCTTCCCATATTTCATATCTTATCCATAAAAATATCCTTAAAGCCTCACTGTCTTAGTCTCGATCCACAAAAGTCCATTAAGAGTTACTAGAGACAACACATTTATTTTAATATTGATCAAATAAACCAACCTGACATTCCTTCCCTTTACTTTTAACAATCTTAATCTTTAATCCCTTCAAATAATGTCCTGTTTCTTTTCTTTGCCCCTTCTATAAAATTATTTAAAATTTAACAAGCTTTTTTTGTAAAATCCATATATGAAAATTACCCAGGTTACTCTCTTGGTTTGGTATGTGTATATCCCTTTTAATTAAGACATCAGTCAGTTTCTTTTGTTTGTATGTTGTAGCATCTTTTTCCCATATCATTCTTGTAGCCTGTCATCCACTTTCATGTCAGTCTCAATCTTGCCAAGTAAAATTTATTCCTCTTCCATAACATTTTTTAAACACAGTCTATCTACATAGGCAAACACTCTTAAAATTAATTTCTGAGTCCATTGTTCAAAAATATTCTTCAGTATGTCCAGTGTTAAAATATTTGCTTCCTTAGTAAGTGAAATTTAAGTGTTCTCCTTTAATTCTAATTTTTATTTCCTTCTGGTTCCTTCTAGCATCCAGCCTTCAAAATCTCATCCTATCTTTTTTTTTTAAGAATTCAAGAATGTTTGCATAGGAAGGATTATTATAATTAATTCCAAAACATTATTTCAAATCCGTCTGGACTCTTAGTCCATTTGTAATTTTCCAAAATCAAAGTTCTAATAATCTTTTTGCTATTTATTCCCTCTCCAAACACCTTTTTTTTTTAGATTTAAGTTTTTAAACCCTTAAACCTGTACTTAAATCTTCTTTCACTAAGGATTGAAGGAATCTCAGATGGTGCTGTAAAATATATCAATCCAAAGGTCCCTAATAGGCAAAATGCACTAATAAGCAATTTCCAAAAGTGACCAGAAAAGGAAGTATTTGAACCTAATGCCCTTTCAAAGATGCCAAACCCAGTTTGAGCAAAGATGGCTTCCTCCTCGTTCCCAAAGCTGTAAACCTGATGGACACCACTGCCTTGTATTCTCTTTGTTCCTCATTGCAAGGAGCAACTATGGTCCTGTGGATGTTCTGAAGTCCTCTTCTTGTCCAGAGAGGAATGTCAAAGAGCTGATCTTCTTGTCAGTCTATTTTTCACAGAACCATCTTCAGTTCTTCAGTTCTTGCCCTAGAAGTGGAGGAAGATGTTTAGGTAGTTTTCTTGATCACAGTACAAATGTGGTATATGCTTACTTTCTTCTGGATTTTTTTTTTTTATGAGCTGTCCAGTCTTTAGCCTGGGATTTTCTGGTAGTCACTCTTCGAAGATGAAACCAGGTTAGATTCTCCTTAGTCTTCTGAGATCAGCCAAGATCTAGCTGGATCCCCAGCAGTTAACATGAGGAATCATGAAATACATAAAAAGACATTCAGTTGTACTAAAGAGAAATCATAGAAAATCCTCTTGGAGGGAAATCCTCTTACATGCCTCT